TTGCAAATGTGATTAAATTTAGGATCCTGAGGTGGGAAGGGACCTTGGACTGTCCGGGTGGGTCTCACTAATCACAGGTCCTAGTGATGACAGAGGGAGACCGGATGTGCTGACAGAAGCATGCCTCAGCCCCCGGCCATGCTGCCCCAGGCATATGTGCCCAGCACCACGCCAGATTGCCAATCGGCATCTGCAGGGGGGGGGGGTCTTTGTCACAGCTCTTCAGGCTGGCACCTGGGAAGACCCTGCAGGCTGACCAGCGGAGGCTGCGACGTGACACTGGGACGTCTCCTTCCAATTACTACAGCCCAGGCCCAGATGTGGCCCCTCCACGTCTGCTGGGAAAACATCCCCTTCTCCTTCCCTGCCGGGCTGCGGGACTGGGGAGAGGGGTGCCCTGTCACCCTTGAGGGGCTGGCCACAACGGCCACATCTGCCATGCTGGCCCTCTTTCGTGGGGGGCCCAGGGCCGTGAGGTTTAGATGGGCGCCTGCCTCCCTGAGGACACTCAGTCTCTGAGGGACTTGACTGACTGATCGCATCGGCTTCCCGCTGACGATCTGTCCCTCTGGCTGCAGGCCACGTGGCCCCACACACTGCCAACAAATAAATCAAGTCGCCCAGGCGGGAGCCTGATGCCAAGGAGCCACCAGGGTGGGACGCTGCCCCTGTTGGACATGTGTTCAGGAGGCCGAGATGGCCGGAGCTGGCCTGCCTGACTGGGAATCCAATGAGGCTGGGGCTGCATCTGCCTCTGAGGAGCGGGACAAAGGCTTGTGGCAGGGAATGGCTGGTGTGTGGCAGAGGCCTTGGCCAAGCTGAGGATGCGCCCACCCTCCTCTCAGGGTCCCTGGGGGATGCGGCGCTCTCCCCTGGCCAGCTTGGCCTGTGTTTGTTTACATTAGAGACCCTCATGGCTTACGGGGGCAAGAAGCAGTTTCCAGAAATAAAACAGTAGGAAAAGAAAAGGAAAAGCCATCTGGACTAGAGACAGGGCAAGCACACAGGGACTGAAGCTCAGCTGCACCAGGGCTTCCCACTGGCCAAAGCAAAAAAGGAAACAGGGCCTAAGCTACGGGAGCCTTGCCTCAGAGGTGGGCAGTGGACACTGATCACCCAGCTCGCGTGGGCTCAGCAGGCTGGTGGTCAGGCCGAGGGCACCTCTGAGTGGGCACCTCGCCCCCAGGGTGCATTTACTCCAGTGAGGCAGTAGTGACCCCAGCTTATCCACAGGGTGACGGGCCCAGCAGTGGGGGCTGACCTGCCCTGGCCCTTTGGCAGGCAACTGCTGGCTGGGACTTGGAACTCCTGACCACAGTCTAGGCTCCTGCTGGGCCCTGCGCCTCTCCCCCAAATGAGCACAGCTGTGAGTTGTGAGTGTGGGTATGTGTGGACATACCCAGAATGTATCATTGACCCTGCCTCCTGCACTGCCTCGGGCTTTGGGAGGCCGGAAAAGCTGTCCCTACCCCTCAGGACGGGACACTTGGCTATGTGATGTCCATTTAGAGGTGGGTCTGAGTACCCCTTGGGCCCCAGGCCAGGCAAGTGGGTGGCAGGGCTGCTACACTGAACCCTGAACTGGGTGAGAGCTGGCTGTCACTGGCCCTTGGTGGCCACAGTGTCACCTGAAAAGGTGACACGGAGCGATGGCTGGAAAGACCCTGAACTCACAACTCACCTCGGGGACAAGCATCAACACCACAGAAGTGCCTATGGCCTAGCAGCTCCCTGCTACTGTGACTGTGCCAGTACCGGGCCCCAGGACCAGCCGCTGTCCTGTGGTCCTTGCTGATGACAGCTCTGATTTTCATCTCTCCTCCTGTTGCTAAGGACATGGCTGCCCTCCATACCCGCCCTGCACCTCTGTCCCTCCCCAGAGCCCACACCCCACCCTGCTCACCAGCTCTGGCTTCAGCCCATCCAGGAGCTGGGCTGTGGAGAGACAGGTGGGGAGCCATGCTCTGCACATCCCAATCTGTGGCGGCCACTCAGGGGGCACTGCCTGGCCTCAGAGTGCCCAGCCACTGCTCATTAAAGACCCTTCCTGCATCTGACGACCTGAGAGTCCAGGAGAGGGAACACAGCCTGCCCCACTGCTGACCGCTGGAGCCCGACTCGGCCACAGACCTGGGAGGTGGCTCTGGGGCTGCCTGCTCTGCTGAGTCCAGGAGAAGGGGCCACACCAGAGCCACATGGCCACCCCTAGCCGGACCTCAAAGATGTGTCAGCTGGGGCTGGGGGTGCAGCCCATGGTGGGGCCCTCGGCCAGCCTCCTGAGGCCCTGGGCTCCATCCAGCAGCACCCCCACACACACACAGACACACCCCCCCATACACATCACATGCAGTGATAAGGTGCAACATCTGTTCTTATGACTCACATGCCCCTGATTTAAAAAGACGGTAACATCTAAGCCTTACAAAGGGAGCAGTTGTGGCCTCAGTGTCCATGAGCAATGCAGGGAGGGGCAATCCCACTGCCAAGGGGACACAAGGGCTGCCACGACCCAGGTGCTGCAGGGTGGGCAGCACGAACCGCAGGCTTATCCACAGGAATACGGGGGCGAGTAAGAGGTGACCCCTCTCAGGAAGCAAAGGAAATGTCCTGTCCCTGCCACAGAGTGTCCCCACCCACATCCCCTTTAAAGAGGTTCCTCAGCTGATCAGCTCTGCCAGACCCGTGTTGGCTCCAGGGAAAGCAGAGGAATAGTCAAGGTTCCAACCAAAGCCCTCCGCCCCGTCCATTTACCAGGGCTGTGACAGTTCAGGGTGGGGACACTGGCGTTCACAAGGTGGACAGACTCTGAGAGCCGTCCAGCACCCGGTGGCCCAGGGCAGGTCAGGCAAGTTGGGCACCACTCTGAGACGCCAGAGGGCCCAGATGTCCCTCTGCTGGGTCTGTCACGGCCCTGTGGTCAAGAGTGCGCGCTCCCCATGTGCCCAGTCAGTGGGCGGGGCTCGGCCCACCAAGACACAGAGATCGCCCTGTCCCTCCGTCCAGCCTGGCTCCAGGTCTGGAAATGGCCACCCCGTGGCTTTTCCTCAGCTGGGGGCGGGGTGCAGTCTTTGGTGAGACCCGCATTCCCAGGCCTGGAAGGACGCGAACGCCTCTCTAGCACAGCGACTCCTGCATGAGGCCTGATGCTCCCTGTCCCCAGCGCTCTGCACGGGCCCCATCCATCCTCACATAATGAACAACAAGCAAAGCCATCAGCAGGCGGATGCAGTTACCAAGGAAACGGCGGGGGGCAGTGAGGGAGCCTGAGTGGCCCACGTCACCTGCCTGTGTCCCTCTGTCTGCTGACAGTCCATCCCTCATCCCGGATCTGAGCAGCCCAGCAGGGCTGGCCCTGGCTGCTGCTGGCCACTGGGCCACACCGCTAACCAAGCCAAGCGCAGCCCTAGCTTCCCACCTGAGCTCTGCCCTGCCCGGGAGTCCCCCATGGACGTGCCCCCAAAGACCGCAGAGCTGCGGGAGAGGCTCACCTCGTACAGCAGACAGCCCAGGGACCAGATGTCCGACTTGAAGTTGTAGCCATTCTCGTGGATCCTCTCCGGCGACATGTAGTACGGTGTCCCAACTGAAACACAGCAAGGGGCAGGTGCTGAGGGCCTGGGCCAGGACGGGCAGGAGCACTGGGGCTCGGGGAGGGGACAGAGCCGGCCCCAGCCTCTGGGCAGCCCCCTTCCTCTCTGGGCCTGTCTTTTCCTGTCAGGTGTGAGGATGAGCGGAGGGAGCTGCCCATGCTGGAAGGGCATCAAAAGCACCTGCCAACTTCAAGGAGCTTCCCAGGACCCACCTGAGGTCCAGGCTGGGGCTGGGCAGCCAGAGGGTCAGTGTTTCTGCCAGCCATGGGGGATGGGAAGCAAGCGACCAAAGGTCCTTTAACATGATCATCTGAATCCAGAAGAGTCTGGATGAGGCTTTGAATGGGAGAAGAATCACTGCTGATGGTGACCCCTCCACACCCTCTCACTCACTTCCAACAGCCCATGAGGAGGCAGCCCCATTTCAGAGATGGAGAAACTGAGGCTCAGACAGGGGAAGAGGCTCCCATAAATCAGCAGAAATGGGGTGTGACCCTGACCCACAGGCGCCCAAAACTGTACATAGCCACCATCTGTGGCTACCCCTTGTCCAGACTTAGGGTTGGCTGAGCTTAAGCAGAAAAGGCACAAACCTCAAAAATATTTCATTAAAGTGAAGAACTTCAGTTCATCAAAAGACACCATTCGGAGGGTGAAAAGGGAAGCCACACCGAACACGGTGGCACACACCTGTCATCCCAGCATCTCAGAGGCTGAGGCAGGAGGATCCCAAGTTCAAGGCAAGTCTCAGCAATTTATTAAGGCCCTAAGCTAGCAAGGCTTTCTCAAAACAAACAAACAAACAAACAAAAGTGGGGGCACTTGGGATGTGGCTCGGTAGTAAAGTGCCACTGCATTTGATTTCTGGTAGCAAAAAAAGGCAAGCCCCAGCCTGAGGAAATCTCTTCAATCCATACACCCCGCCCCCTGGACTGACACGAAGGATACATTTTATCTCATTCATTTGTCGCAGTGCTGGGCACAAGTGCCCTACCACTGAGCTGCACCCGCAGCGCCCCCCCACACACAAATTTTTATTTATTTATAGACAGGGTCTCACTAAGATGCTTAGGGCCTTGCTAAACTGCTGAGGCTGGTTTGAATGTGTGATCCTCCTGCCTCAGCCTCCTAAGCCACAGATTTCAGGCATGAGCCAGCTGCTTATCTTTTAAAACTTCTATAAACCAGTGAGTAGAAGAAAACAGCCCCGCCCCTCAGATGAGCAAAGGGGCGTCTCAGAGAGACAGGACCCGGATGGCCCGACGAGGCTTCGGCTTCTCAGTACTCATCAGGGAGACTCAGAATACAAGTAAAACAGGTTGCAACTACACACCCACCTGAGGGCTAGAGAGAAACCAAAGCCAAGAAAACCAAGCAGGTGACGCACGGAGCCACGGGACCTCCCGTGTTCCATGAGAATGACACGAAACAGAACAAAAATCCACTGACGCACAGGTTGCCGGGCTGTCACCCAGCCATCCCACTCCTAGGTGGGTGTCACCCGATGCTCTGTCTCTTAAAAGACACAATCAAGGATGTGCAGAGGGGATGTGCAATAGCCCAGCATGGAAACAAACCTCAGTCACCAGAATGGGTCAATTGATACACCACATAAACTACAGCCTACTCACAGGTGGAATACTATATAGCATTAAAAAGAACAAAACTAGGTCCATTCATAAGCAAAATATTAAGTGAAAGAAACCAGGCCAAAAGAGCATGCACAGGGAAAGTGGCCCAGGAAGGGAAAGGGCGCTAGGGGACTTCTTTACTGTATACATATCACACCTCAATTAAAAAGTAAAAAAAAGGTGGGGGC